ATTGGTAAGGCTACCCCTCAAAATTGTGTTTACTTGAAAAACCTCTTGGATTTTTTTTGCAGTAGATCTGGCCAGCGGGTGAATCCTGCTAAATCGAAGATTTTCTTCTCCAAAAATGTGTCTATTAACAATAGGGAGTCCCTTTCTGCTATCTTGGGCTTTCCTTGCACGGAGGACCTTGGTACTTATCTAGGTATTCTCATCTCGGCAAAAAAGATTTCTAAAGGGAAGTGTCAATTTATTATTGATAGAGTGAGAGCTAAACTTGTAGGATGGAAGTCCAGATTCCTTTCTTTGGCAGGTCGTGTCACCCTCACTTCTTCGGTCTTAGCGGCTATCCCTAATTATTATATGCAAACCATGCTTTTACCTGCTTCAGTTCATACTGAGTTAGACCAAATATCTCGAAATTTCATTTGGGGATTAGAAGATAACCAAAAGAAGATTCATCTAGTTGGGTGGCAGACTGTCACCCAACCTAAGGATCTTGGAGGGCTGGGACTCAAAAGTTCCAAGGAAGCTAACGTAGCAGCAATGAGTAAACTCAACTGGAGATTGTACATGGAGAAGGATAAACTTTGGTGTAATATTTTTCGCAGCAAGTATAATCTCTCTGATTGTCATTCCCCCCTCCCTGCATCTGGCTCTCCCATTTGGAAAGCCATTATTAAGGGATATGATATTTTTAAGGCTGGTATTAAGTGGATTCCACGATCTGGTGGGAATGTGAGATTCTGGACTGATTGTTGGTGTTGTGATATCCCACTTATTTCTTGGATATATGGTCCTCATACTCCTGGCTTCGAGCTCATCACTGTTGCTGAATTTTTCAATGTTGGTGCATCCGCTGCTGATCTTATTGCTTATCCCATTCCTATCGACATTGAACCCTTTATCCATGCTGTTCCTATATCTCTTTTTGCTTTAAGAGAAGACACTTTTGCTTGGGTTGGTAGCTCTAATGGGTCTTTCTCATCTGCCTCTGCTTATTGTATTACAAAGCATCTCCCTCTTAAGCCTTTGGAGGATTGGAGATGGGTGTGGAAATCTTATACTTACCCAAAAATTCAATACTTCCTTTGGTTGCTTGCCCATGATCGTCTAAAATGCTT